AGAAGCACTTGTTCTCACTGCATATCTGTCTAAGGAAATACATGTTTGGTATTATAAACCTAGACAACTAACCTAGGCTGGAGGGGTCATGGACTAGACAGTAGAAGAAAACTACTACTTCCATAATATTAAACAAATGTAATATTTAACTGTATTCCAAAAGTATATTGTTGTACCCACATATAAATATAGCAGCTGATTCTCATCAAAACACCTTCCTTTTGAAACACCAGACTACTACAGAGACCCACAACTGGTCAAAATGCAGAGATGTGATTATGCCATCCTAAATCTAGGTTGACAAAGGTGCAATTGTGTCTTTTACAGGAAAGGTTAGCTCTGCCTCTCAATGCTGTGGCTACAAATGCAAGACAAATATGAAACAGCAGTTCACATGCAAATGCAGACAGGGTCAATTCCACATGGAACGCCATGACAAGTGTTACAGGTTATCAGTACCTGTGGAGACAGAATCGGTCTCCTTCAGGGACAAGCTCCCACTTAGATTGTTCACTCCCCAGTGGTCTGCTCTGCACACCCATACAAATGAACAAAGATAAATGTCCTCAGTAGGTTAGAAATTCCTGTGTCTATGCATGAACACAAAACTACATACATATATGCATTTAACTCATTAAAGGGTCATGTTTGGTGCTTACATGGAATTGGCTGAGGCACAAGAGGGAAGAAAGGTGGCAGGAGGGATTGTATCCAGAGTGAGGAAGTGGAAAGTTCCAAATCCTGAATAGCCAAGTTATACACACACACACACACACACACACACACACACACACACACACACACAGCACAGTGAAAGTGAGAGGAGGAGGGAGAGGACGTAAAAACAGAGTAGCATGAGGGCAAGAGACAGAAAGGTAGGAGTTGGGCCAGAAGGTATCCCCTCAGCCATAGTCCAAACCCCCAGACCCCATGCATATGCAACAGATCATGATGCCAGGTGCTGATAAACTCTCATTCCCTTACAGTCAAAGCCCTCTATACATGGCTAGGAGTCATATCTTTCAAGGTGTCCTTGACCTGACAGCAACGACCTCCCCATGCAGATTTTGGAGTCAGTTACTGCTCAGAATCCCCTCTTCTATAGCCACTGAAACACATATACACAGACACACATGGGAAGTCACAGGTTGTGAGGTTAATCCAAGCTAACACACACACACACACACACACACACACACACACGGAGTTAGTTTTCTGGTTCTGCTATGTATAAATGTCTATGAAATACAAAAGTCTCTCTTGTCTTTCATCTCCTTTTCTGAAAGAGGTGTTAGTTATTTACTGTTTTATATCCTTCCATTTGACCAAAGCCCCACTGTGACAACCAAATGCACATCCTACCTGATCTCCCCTCTTCTGTAACTAATAACCCCACACAATACATTGCTGTGTCTGTTTCTACCAGGTATTTTCCCTTGCACAGCCAAAGCCCCACAGGATTCAGCTCCTCCTAATTGCCCCCTCCCCTAGAGGCGAAAGTCCCAATATGAATACAAGCCAGGTACCAGTCCTTCTTAGTAACCTCTTCCCTACAGTAAAAGCTTCCAATAAAAGCACAGGTGTCTGCCTAAGACGGAACCAGGGCTCCTGAACGTGGGTGTCAGTGGGGAGGCCTGAGCATTCTATGGTTCCCCTGGCAGTGGAATCAGTATTTATCCGTAGTGCATGAATGGCTTTGGGAGCCCATTAGCTATGGAGGGATACTCTTTTCTACAATTATTTCTATCATTTTCTGCCTTTTCCAATTACTCCCACACCCTCCTCCCTGCATACCCATGTAGTGTTATGGTCTTCCTCTCTTTCTATTAAAAAATAAAACACAAAAGAAAAATCAATACCTATAAAATATCCTCAAAAATAAAATGAGTCAAAACGTCTATGACACTTCTATTGAGCTGGTTTATGTGTTTGCCAATGTTTCTCCCACATGGGTCCTATCAAGTGGAGTAGTTAAGATACCCAGTGAGAACTCATTGAAGGAAACTGATTCTTCCTTTGCCATCAGGAAACAACTGCAAAAGTGTCCTTGATTAGGCATGGAAACTTGTTTCCCCTTCCACTTTTCATTGCTAGAACCCCATCTGGCTTGAAGCTTTTTATGCTTGTGTGTTGCTACAGTCTACGTGAGTTTATGTGTTCATATGTACTGTGATTATCTTCTTCCTTGTGAACATCTATTGCCTCTGGCTCCTAATGTCTTTCTGTCTCTTTTTCTCAGTTGCTCCCTGAACCTTGAAGGATGATTTTCACGAAGCCATCCCGTTTAGAACTAAGTATTACAAAGTCTCACACTCTCTCTACATCGTTATGAGTCTCTGTGTTAGTTCCATCTCTTGCAAGAGAGTTTCACGGTGTGGGATGTTTGAAACGCTAATCTCTCATTATAGCACTACGTCATCAAGAGTTGTTTTATCACTATGTTCCTTTAGCAGGATAACAGCATCAGGTTTTCCCATAGGCCCACGACCAACCTACTCAGTCTCCTGGCCACATTAGCAGTGTCAGTTACAGTTTACATCTCATGGAGTGGGCCTGAAAACCAATCAAAAAGTGGCTGATTATGGACAGAGTATTTATGCCATTATTGTTTCAGTCTATTTTGTATATGGGTCATTGTTGCTCTAGGGTTTGTAGCTGGGGGATATTGAAGATTGTCTTTCTCCTTCACTAGACTGCAGAGTATATTCCTGTGTCATGATCGTCATTCAGTAGTGGTGAAGCTTCTAGGTATTCACCCAATCAACTTCTCCATGTTGACTAACACACACTTGTGTTGTCTTCAGCAATAAGGTATAACAATAAGGTTGTGAATAAGAAACAGTCTTAGCAGTCTATGTGAACTTTGGGAGTTTTCGTGGGTCCCATGTTCAGCTATTCATAAAGGTAGAACCTGATCATGTCAGTGAACCAAATTTTTTTCTAGAGTTTTTTTTTCTTCAACAAATATTGAACTATGTTTCTCTTTATTGATCTGCTTTGGTTTTATATGCTATCTTTTCAGTTTTGCTAGTTCACACAAGTTTAGAAGTTTGCTATTTGCTCCAGTTTTCCATTTCATGCCAGTATACATTTTTAAAATACTTCCAAATGAAGAATCAGAGGAAACAGAGGGGTCAGGGACAGCACAGGAACATTGCCCACAGAGAAATTGTCTGGTACTCATAGGAGCTCACAGAGATCAGGGAGCCTACAGGGGATTTTACCCAGTTCCTATGCATATATGATATTGCTAAGTAGCCTATGGTATTGTGGGATTCCTAACAGTGGGGGATGGATGGCCACTTATACTTTGGCCTACTTATGCTACCCCTTTCCTCCTGCTGCTGTATTCCCCAGTCCTACAATAGCATACTATACCATATTTGGTTGGTGTTCCTGAGAAGCCTGACCTTTCTCGAGGGGATATGTAGAGAGGGTAAATCTGGGGAAGACAGGGGGAGAGTCTGGGGGAGGGCAAAGAGGGAAAAATATGGCCAGGGCATAATATATGAGAATAGGATAAAAATACTAGGAAACTTGAGCAATTTGAATGAGAAATGTGTTGACATCATTGACTCTAAAAGGCCTTTTCTTGTTTTAATTAATTTTTATTTAAATTAAAATAAATCATGTTTTACATACCAACCCCAGTTCCCACTCCCTCTCTTCCTCCCATTCTTTCCACCAATGCCCCATCCCATCCCCCCATCCACTTCTAAAGGAGTGTGATGCCTCCCATGGGGGATCATCAAAATCTATCACATCATTTGGGGCAGAACCTAGGCCCCAAGAAAGAAAGAAAGAAGGAAAGGCAGGGATATCATAGTACTCTGGAAATAAAATGTGCCACTTATGCGAGGATCCAGCATAAATTAGGACAACTAAGTGAGTCCAGATTCTTTGCTTAGAAAGTCTTTTATTTTATCACTATATAGAGAACAGAGAAATATTGGAACATTATCATTATTCATACTTATGTAGTCAGGAAACATCAAAACTGTAATATCTTCCCTCATAGAAACATTATCAGATCTGAAAACAAAGAAGTAGATTTCAAATGTAAATTGAATAATTATGTGAGAATTTATCAAAACTATTGAAAGAATAAAAAATTCAAAATAAGTTGTAAATGTACATATCATGATTTCTGAGAAATGTCTCATGAATTGAGTTTTCATGACAGCAAATGACTATTAATTAATGCAGAATGATTTTCTACATTACTAAAAGACAAATATGATATCATAATATTCACCAAGTTATGTCAAAGTAAAATATACTATTTGGGAACAGGAAACATAGATAAATTTAGTGGCTGTTAAAGGATTACCTTAGAATTTGATAATGGAAATCTTTTCCATAAAAAACAGCATTTCTTTCTCTCAGCAAATTTGAGCATATGTTTAGCTGTGTAGCATGATTATTTCTATTCCCTCTGATTTAGTTATTTCTTCAGAAATGTTGATTCTCTGTTACTATTAGCACTCTATATTTTCATTAAGAAAGTATTACAAGTGTTTATGACTATATGATTTCCATTGTTTAGGTTATTGAGAACTTAGTAGTGAAGAAAAATTTATTCCCAAGAATTGTCATGTTAGTTGCCAAAATAAATACTTCCAAATGATTCTTTACATTCCAGCCACTTTGGCTGTAACAGCATCAAAATTTGGCTATATATTTAAACTGTGTTTTCTCCTACATAACCACTTTTGGTAAGGTTGTGTCTGTTTTGTTTGCCCTTTTTAATAATCAATGTTTTATGCTTTTGGAATGTGCATTATTGTCTACTTCCTCAGATTCAGTTCTCATCTTCAGTACATTTTCCAAAAGCCTTCATGGAGTCAAGTTTATTCTCATTTTTATTTGTGTAACTGACAGGTTCATTGTAAGTGTGCCTTGCATTTGTCACACTTTTCCAAGTAGAAACTGAAAGCTATAGACTTTCCCTAAGACCTACTTCTCTTTGTTTTTATCTGGTTTTCTCAGTTGGTGTTGTCATGGATATTACCAAGAACCTCACTAACAAGACCAGTGAGAAGGTGACCATGCAGCTGGACCTGAAGGCCAGCACCTCTGAAGAGGAGACACTATCCGATCACTATGTCATCCTCAGGACCCTTGGCAAAGGGAACTTTGCTGAGGTGAAGCTTTCTTGCCACCTTCAAACAGAGGAGCAAGTTGCCATCAAGGTCCTGCAAAATGGAAGAAGGAATGACTTCGGCATTCAAACCGAACTTGACATCTTGAAAACGTTGGACCACCCATATATTATCAAGCTGTTCCATGTCATCAACACCGAAGATTACACCTATATGGTGTTGGAACATGCTGCTGGTGGAGATCTGGTGAGCCACATTGAGAGGGTGGGCTCTCTGCAGGAGGAGGAGGCCCAGCACATTTTTACACAGCTAGTGTGTGCAGTTCACTACTGCCATAAGAATAACATTGCACACCGAGACATCAAGCTGGATAATATGCTGCTTGATGACAAAGGCAACATCAAGCTATGCGACTTTGGCCTGGCCACCCGTGTCACCCCTGGCCAAAGTACCAAGGGCTTCTGTGGAACCATTGGTTATTGTGCTCCAGAGCTGTTCTCTGACAAAGAATACGACGCCAAGGCAGTGGACATCTGGAGCATGGGAGTAGTTTTGTATGCAATGGTGACGGCAGACTTTCCATTCAAGGGCAGTACCTACTCAGACATGGAGGAGGAGATGCAGGATCCCAAGTACCACCTCCCTTACAGACTTTCAGAAAACATAGCAGACATCATTGAGCAGTTGTTCACTGTGAAGCCGGAGCAGAGGCCCAAGATATATGACATTAGGCAGCACCAGTGGGTCAAGGCAAAGGAAGAAATATGCAAAACCACACCATACTTAGAGGCACTCTGCAACAACCCAAATCCCAGCATTTTGGTGGCTATGTGGAGGATGGGCTATGACCCAAAGGCCACTACTGCTTGTCTACGTGAGAAAAAATTCAATAGCATAATGGCCACATACCTAATTTTAAACCACAAGTCACCCCGCGACCACTCTAAATATGCTGAGAAGTTTTTGCAGGCCTGTGTTGCTATGTCCCCAGCAGATGCTCTCACTGGCGTTACTTCTCAGAGGGGACTGAGTGAGCTTGCTCTCTCCGCCTTGCTGGAGGAACACCGGGTGGATGATGAGAAGGGATCAAGGAAGAAGACGATGAGAAGCCTGAGCATGCCTGCCACCTTGTGCTGCCAGCAGAAGGGAAACAAATGTCCACACGCAGCCTCCAAATTGGCTCGTCGTAAGATTACTTATGTCAAGAGTAGATGTTTGGCAGTGGATAGCATGATTTGCTATTCGTCATCCTCAGGATCCCTGTCCTCTGAGAGCATTTCTTTTTCAAAATATTTGTCCTTCAAGACATCCCAGGAACTGAACACCCCCAACAACAGCTCATGCACTCAGAGTTCAGGAAGTTACAGGGAGGTACCTCACATTGTGAATACCACTGGCACATATGACATCACAAAAGATTCTCTTCGGGAAATATCTGAGAACACCTTTGACGATGTCACCCCTGAAGGCATTCCTGAAATCCAGATTTCTTCCCTTCAGGAAACATCCAAGAACAGCTTCGATGATGTCATTCCTGCTGACATTCCTGAAATCCAGATTTCTTCCCTTCAGGCATCATCTGACAACACCTTTGATGATGGCCTTCCTGAAGGCATACCTGAAATCCAAAGATCTTCCCTTCAGACATCATCTAAGAATACCTTTGATGATGTCCCTACTGAAGGCAGACCTGAAATCCTAAGATCTTCCCTTCAGACATCATCTAAGAACACCTTTGATGATGTCCCTACTGAAGGCAGACCTGAAATCCAGATATCTTCCCTTCAGACATCATCTAAGAACACCTTTGATGATGTCCCTACTGAAGGCAGACCTGAAATCCAAAGATCTTCCCTTCAGACATCATCTAAGAACACCTTTGATGATGTCCCTACTGAAGGCAGACCTGAAATCCAGATATCTTCCCTTCAGACATCATCTAAGAACACCTTTGATGATGTCCCTACTGAAGGCAGACCTGAAATCCAGATATCGTCCCTTCAGGAAACATCCAGGAACAGGTTTGATGCTGTCACTCCTGAAGACATAATTGAAGTCCAGAGATCTTCCCTTCATGAAACATATGACAATGTCTCTCCTGAAGACATAATTGAAGTCCAGAGATCTTCCCTTCATGAAACATATGACAATGTCTCTCCTGAAGACATAAGTTATGAAGACATAACTGAAATCCAGAAATCATCCCCCCAGGCAACATCCAACAACATCTTTGAAGATGTCCCTCCTGAAGATGTAACTGCAGGCTCTGCCAGCAGTCTATCCCGAGTCTGGAAAAGGGTTAAGAAGAGAATTGGAAATTGTCTGAGACGACTATGCTGCTGTGTGCCAGCCTGCAAGAGAAGTCACGTGTCTCAGGAGGAAGCGGTACCAGTGGAAGTGGAGAGTTGTGCGGTTGCACACACGTAGCTGTATGGGGTGCCCAAGATCCACTCCTGTGTTTCTTAATCTATATGTTTTCTAATGTCCGCTGCAAACATCACAGGATAGTCATGAATATGAAAATTAGCAAATCTTATTTCTAAAGGAACAGTCCTATAGCACCACCATAACCATCAGCATGAAATGGTTTAGCTGAAGGTAAACAACAGAGGATGAGAAGCAGTGGTTTCAGAGACAGAAAAAAAATAGTTAAAATAGGAAAGGATAGGAGAGGATCAAAGGTTTGAGGTAATAAAACTCCAAACGCTAGGGAAGAGTGTGACGGGAGAAACCACTTGAAAATGGATGTCCCAGAATAGAATAAGAGTCAAGAATCTACACTATATATTTCAAAGTTCTTAAGACTGTGTCTTGCATACATCATTATCATCTGAAGTGATAAGTATCTATGAAGGTTGAGACATGGGGTAGAAATTTTCCTGGTGTGACTGAGACAGCCGAAGTGGGAGCCCTGCAGGAAGTCCAGATGGCCATGTGTCCACTAACCCAGGAGAAAAGTCCAGCACAAGAGGAGGTAAGCCATCGTCTACCACAGGATTCTCCATAGAAAACTATAGGTAACAAGGCTAAGTCCTAAAGACGGCCTTCCATAGCATTCTTCTCAGAGGGAAGCCTTGTGCCAAAATTCACCTCCAAACTGCCCATTAATTAGAAGTCCCCGAAGGGATGGTCTTCATGGGTAGACCACAGCAATGCTCTTTTGTCTTTCTTTACAAAGGTAAGGTCGAAGGGAGATGTTTTGTCACACTGAGGGAGAGGTGACCCTTCTCTTCCCTCTTCCTCCTTTCCCTGCTGTTGTGTTTGCAGCCTGCCTACATCCCATTGTCCCTCTTGTCACAGGAGTCACAGTCCCACTGCATGATGCTGGACCAGTAGCTGTTGGTGAAGGGGCCCTTACTGTGGGCTTTTGTCAGAAGCATGTTTCTCTCCTAACAGGAAGGTGACAGCAAGCTGGAAGGTAATGGGTACCACTGTGGATGGAAAGCCGGGATATGGCTCCACTTTGGATGGTGGGTATTGCTTACCTGTCTTGGAGCACAATAGACTCATGACTTAGTCCAGTCTTGGGAATCCTTTAATTTAGATCCCACATCAGAGGTTAGACATAGACAGAACCTTGTGACCATTGAGTTGAGGCATTCCACCGGGCTATCTGCCTGGGTGTCCTCCTGTGAAAGTTGTCTTTGGAGATGTCACAGATACACTTGAGACAGATCACTGCTGTCTGCAATGAAAAGTGGCCACTCAGAAGGGACTGAATGCCAGGGCTCATCTGTGGGCCTCATGTGGCTAAAGACAATATTGAAACTACCTATCTAGTCCTGTTGTGTGGGAGATGTTTCTGTGATCTGGTCTATCCTTGACACTAGTCTACAGATAAATAAGAATCAGGCTGCCAAAGCCAGACATTTTCCATTCCGAGGAAAATGGTCATTGAGCTCACCATTCAGAGGGACAAAATCATGAGGGACAACACAGCCATGCACTGAGAGGGAACTTGACATAACTTGTGGCTAGTACAGTTTCTTTCCCCTTTGACCCACTATCCCCTAGCCTTTATGGAGAAACAGTTTTTGTAGAAAGGGTGAACAACTTCTTACCCCTGTATGGTAGGACAGTCACTCTGAAACTGGCCAGTACTGACTCATGTGGGCGATGCTGCTCTACCTACCTGGTGATTGTTCAGGCTAGTTTCTGTCCTGATGTGCTTTACTGAAGCCAGCACCAGGAAAAGGGAAACCTGGGTGTTGTGGCCTGGTCAGTCTAACCCAGGACAGACAAAATAAAAAAAATCACTGGCTTCTTAAGATGGGGATTAAGAAGCTAAATCTCACTATGAACAGACCTGAAGTTTATTTCTATTTACTAACATTTCCCTGGAGTCTGATGGGAACTTTGTGTGTCTCTTCTATGAAAGGCATGTTCCTGCCTTTAACGTCTTCTTCTGAGAGAACAGAAGACAGCTGAGCCCTCCCCCACTGCCAGCACTTCCCTCCTTCACTGTCTGCTGGACAGAGCAGGAGCAAGTGCAGTCAGTCCCAGCTACTTAGAGCAGGACCCTCATAAACACCAGCCAGCTCAAAACAGTCCACTGGCATTCTCCTCACAGAGATGAGTCTTTGAGATGCTCTGTTGGACATAATGTGTTTGGTTGGGACACTACTTAAATTACACACACTAGCCTATGGACACTGCCATGATGACCAGTTTGGTAGGGGTGGATCACACGGAGTCTCATGGGTCAACCCAGATCTCTTATTGGCCATCTTTTCTCTCCTTATATTTGCAGGGACTTTTGGACAGGATCTTTGTGGAGGCTCATTTTCACCAAGTATGTATCCTGTGTAATATAGACAGAGAGACAGAGGACGTGAGATGGGGTGCAAGAAGCAGAATGCCTAAGTGTAGACATGTTTCTGGGAAAACACTTTTCCTCCTCTTCTCCTAGAGCCTGATTCCTGCAAAGTACCAGGGCAGTCATGAGAAATTATTCCCTGAATTCAGACATCTCTGGTGTTGGCCTAGGGAAGGTCACATTGGAAAACAATGGGCATTATACCTGCCTCTTTAGTCCCCGAACTGCACTAAAAGTAAACCCGTTTTGGGAAAGTGGAACTATCAGTCCGCCTTTACAATGCTCTGTAATATTCCTTATCTTGAAGGTGGTTGGCCACATCCTGAAACACATCTCCAGGGGATTCCTGAGCAGAGGATCTGAACCCTCAGTGCAGATGATGGTAATAAAAATCCACCAGGTAATTTCCTGAGCTCCTGGCAATCCAGGGGCTCCACACACAGGACATACTGTGGAGAGCAATGAAATGACTTCAGTTTCTGCCACCACAGAAGGCCCCTGCCCTATTCTTGTCAAGTGGATCACCTTTGATGAAAGTTTCCCAGTGGATGTTTTAGCGAGAAATCTCCACCACACTGTGGAACTGTGTCTATTTTGACAGTGCAAAAAGATCACTTATGCCTTTCTTTCCTCACAGATGACCCAGGAAACTTGACAGAACAGATAAAAACAAGCCTCAGCAGTGAATTGTGAAGCCAGTGTGCATTTCTACATGACAACTAGACTGGAATGCATGAAAAGCACAGTGTCCATGGATCCTGTTGGCCAGGCCACCAATAATATGGAAACGGCTCACTTGAGGTCATTTACTTGTGCTGTTTCTCACTGGTGTTGAATAGAGACTGTGCAGGTGAAGCAATTACTAAACTATTCAAGGAGAACTCTAAGAGAATTTATACTAATTGGCGTTCAAGACACTTATGATTTCTGAGGAATCCAAAGGAATACAAGCTCTGAGACTCCTGTTCTCAGCAGCAGTCATTGTTAATGTGACAGATCTTTCTTCAGACAGACTCAGAAAAATGCCCATCTGATACCCAAACATCAAATCCAACAACACACTGGGTCAATCCTAGAAGAGACGGCAGACTCTGCACTTCTGGCTCCATAACATCATGTAAACCCTCAGATGTCCATAAAGTTTGACAGGGGAGGAACAGAGACTGGATACATGGAACCAAATCCCAGTAACAGACCCACCTAGATCATGTAAGCTGATTTTTGTCAGAAGCACCCAGGAAGTCAAGGCAGAGAAAATGGTCTCTCCTATAGGACGGCAGGACAAGTATGCAAAAGCAAGGAACAAGGAACCTGTTAGAAGAAAGAAAAGACTCTCAAATATTACAGCTGACTCCAGATCCCAACACTGCAATGTTCATGGAAGAGCTACAGATGAGACCTGCAAAAGTTCTGCTTCATATGGGGGAAGAGCAGAAACAACAGAGAAGATGAATTGTGATCTGATGAGCTCTGATGCCTGAGTCAAGAAAAGACAGAAGCTGGAGAATGGCTGGAGGACCACTACAACCTACGACATCTAGAGGAAGCCTGGACACTGTCACACCCCAGAAGACAACAAGATGGTGGTTCAATGCTAGGCAGCGTGAAGGGAATGCTAGGCAGACAGGCTGATGGGCTCTGCTCTCCTCTCTTTTACACCCATTCGCAGCTCAAGATTGCTGCATGAAGATAAGGACCAGAAGCAAAGTGATCACTATCCGGAGCTGGGGGCCACTTCCAGCTCTGTCTGCTTTGCTTTTGGCTTCAAATACCTCAGCCCAGTATAAGAGGGGGATTGAGCATAGGAAATACATAGGACTTGCTGGAGCTGGGGAGTCTCCATGCTGCTGCTCCTGGAGCCCAGAAAGCCTAGAGTTGCACACGCCCCATGCCTGTTCCACACACACTACTAGATGTCTACCACACAGAGCACATCACCCTCCTGCTCCCCTGCAATGAATACATCATACCCAGACTGTGATGAATACTCCACATTTGCCAAAACTATAGATGTCAGTGCCTGACAACCCACAAACCACACATACATTAGGAATCAGGCCTTACCTGACACTTTTCTTTACCCACACACTCATATATCAAGGTCTTCTTACATTATTAAATATCAGTTCCGGATGCTGATTCCCCATCACAACACACCAGTAGGAGTCAAGACCTGATGTGACCCCATTCATCTGCTATGCTCAAACATCCTTGCTAGTAATTGTCACCTGTTGATGTGGCATCTCCTTACACTTCCCCAGATACGTTGGCTCATATTAGAATCAGCTCCGCATCAGCCCCATGTGATTTTCTCCATGTCAGGCCTTACTGGACACCAACTATGAAGCCCTCCATAGAATCTGTATCAAATCCTATTAGAACACCCTCAACCATTCCTCCTGCAGAGCCACTTCTTAGGCCCCACTGGAAAAAAACTGCACCTCATTGACACTCAGTACCCACTGATGTTTCATGGGTCTCACAGCTCTGTTCCCTACTACAGTCATGCACTGCATGTGTGATGGAAGCCATGTCAGTGTATGTGGGCCTATAACAGTCAGGGAGAGGATATCAACCAGGCCTGATGCCTAGAAATGAATGTAGTTATCAT